AAATGGATGTTTATGTCGACGCGTTTGTGCGGTCTTTGCCGAGTGGAGCTGTTGTAGTTCGTCGCTATGTAGACGACATTTTGATTTGTTCTTTTGAGGAAGGGTTAGCAGGGACGGTTAAGAAGTGTATAATAGAAAAGTGCCACGATTTGACGTTCACGGAAGGAAGCACTCTTCAGGGCAAGATTCAGTATCTAGACCTCCTAGTACACACACAAAAGGGCTTGTGTTGGAGGTTTGGTAAGGAATCGGCAAAACCCTTGTTGGCTGCTGACAGCTGTCAGTCGAAGTTAGTCAAGAGGGGTGTAATCGCATCTGTGGTAGATAACGCGTGTAAAAAGTCATGTGTACATCACGTTGGAGAGGCAATAGGGTTGCAAAAGTTGCGTCTTTTGGAAGCGGGCCATCACCAGGATGTGATTTCTAGCGTTATGCTCAAGGTGTTAAGAAAGTTCAGTTCGGCTCCGGTAGAAAAACCGGTTGTGAAAAATGTGGTCTGTGTGCCTTACTATCATGGAATATCTCACAATTTGAAGTCAGTGGCCAAGAGGTTCGGAGTAAATTTAGTTTTCAAGGCACAACATAAATTGGAAAGCTTAACCCCCTTTTCGGGTGGTCGTCAGGGTTGCCTAAAGAAACACCAAAACCCTGATTTAACTTGTCAAGTAGGAGTTGTATACGACATTCCGTTGCGGTGTTGATTGTCTTATGTAGGCCAAACTGGTCGCTGTTTGGAACATAAAAGGGCGGTAAAAGACAATGCGCAGTATTCAGAAATAGCTAAACATGTTGTAGACTGCAATCACTGTCAGCCTGAGTGGGGGGGATACCCAGGTATTGCATAAAGAGAAAGAAAATGGTAGGAGAGTTGTGAGAGAGACTTTATGTATTTTGGAGCGTGGCAATTGTGTCAGCACACCGTCCTTGGGTTTCGGAAGTGAACTGAAACGCTTTCAATGTCTCTAAATTTTTTTTTTTTTTTTTTTTAGGGGTGTTTGAATGTTAACACCGTGTCTGTTCGATAGGCCCGTTATCAGTTGTGGCTGGTCGGGTCCGAAGAAATCTATCTTTTCTTTTTTTTTTTTGGGGGGGGGGGGGGGGGTGTTTTTATTGTTAGCAGGGTTTGAGTGCCTGTTTCATGGATTGGAAAGGGGTCAGTTTTTGGTTGGTAGGAAAGGAAGGGAGGTAGCATGTGTCATTGGTTCAGTTTGAGATGTCGTTGATGGAGTGGAGAGGATGTGTGTCGACCTTTGGAGAGGAGGGTTGTGTATATATAAGAGCGGAGGTTTTTCAAATAAACTAGAAGCTGTGTTTGAGACTTGTTGTTGTTTTGTCCGTTTTTTTATTTTTCCGTGTCTCCGGTTTACGATGGAAGTTCTTCACCAGCTCGCCTGTGCTTTTACCCTTTCTTCTGTAACTTGCCCAGTATGCCCTCGCAATCTACCCATTCCTCCAGTCTGTTCTTTATAATTTGCACTACCAACCAGTAAATAACTGGTTATGGGACGATAATTTCTAATATCAGACTTATATCCCTTTCCCTTATATATGATACTCATCCTACTAAGCCTCCATTCATCCTGAATATTTCCTTTTGTTATCACAGTGCTCACTACCTCCCTTAGTTTTGCCTTAGATTTAGGACCCAAATTCTTCACCAGCTTGATTGGGATACCATCTTTGCCTGTCGACGTGCCACTAGGGACTCTTCGTTCCACCTTTTCCCATTCTCTTTGTCCAAAATCCGCGATGTCACAAGCTGGGCTGCTACTTCCTTTGGTTCCCCTATCTTCCACATGTACCCGTTCCCGAAATTTCTCCTCCATCACTGCTCCTATATATCGTATCGGATCATCTCCCTCCAATTGATCTCCCTTATGCGAGGGTGTGAACCTCTGTCTAGATTGCGTCAATTCACTGAGTGAGTTCAAATGCTCCCAAAACTTCTTGGTTGCGTTTCTATCTTTCTTGCTTACATTACTCATCCATTCCTCACCCTTTCTCTGAATTTTCGCATTAATCAAACTGGATGCCTCTCGGCGACATGTTATAAAAGTGTCCCATTTTCTTTTTACTTCCGTTTCTGACTCCCCACTACGCTTGGAATGCCTGTGTTCTCTAGAGGCTTCCTGACGTTTTTGTATCGCTTGCTTCACTTCTTTGTCCCACCAGCTTTTTGGTCCATGTCCTTGCTTGCCCTTTCGGTTACTCTGAACTTTGTCTAGTTCCAGAGCAAAAAGCCTGGTTAGGCTCTCATAGGTCCAATCTGCATACCGTTGCCCTGAAACTGCTTCCTCTATTCTTTCAGCAACTATTTTCAACTCTTTGTCGCAGCAGAAAGTTTGCTTTGAATTATGTTGTCTAGATTAAGCATCTACTTCTCTGGCAAAATCTACTGGGCCAGCCATCGTTCCGTCTGGACGGAACTCTCCTGCGTTCGCTTTCATGCGGTTTGTCTCCTCGCGCGACTGATCAAGCGAGAGCGAAGCGGGTCGCCGTCGCTTGTCTCGTCGCTCGCCAAATCGCCTACATGCGGTTTATAGGTTAAGATCCCCATTAATGCCGTCCCTTCAAAGGGCCATCGATCCCTTTGACCCACGCGGTAGTTCCCCGATGTTCCCTTTATCGATATCGGCACTTACCGCTCGCTTGCACAGAGTCAAACCCAGTCCATTCGTATCGGCGCCTTCTTCTGCTCCTTCAAGTGCTTGAAATTTACCACGCAAGAAACGCCCCAATGAACGAAGCTGTCGAAAAACAGCGACCATAAAGAAGAGCCCGAAATTGCAACAGTGATTCGGCAGTGAATTCGCTTACAAATATTTCGCGATTTTGCCATTTTGTTTTGTTCGAGAGGATTTGTAAACTTTATTATAATTATTCTTGATTTATTGTATTATCAATTTTTTTAGACTTAATTTGATTCCTTTCAAAACAGCGTTTAATGTAATACTTACGCAGGAAGGCTCGTTATAATTCAGGAACGAAACCGAAACTAACTTCTATTTTAGTTGTATCCTGCAAAGTAGTCATTTAGTTGACGAAATGGTTCGCGAAAACTTTATTTTGTGACATACGTGTCCTATCCAGACAGTTCAAACCATTTTTCAGAGTTCAGTGTCTCTTTAAAGACGTGGTCTTTCATACACCTTAGTGACGAGTTCCTCAAGATTGGACAATATCTATCACATCTGCAGTTCCTGTTGTTTAGTGATGAGGCAACGTTTCACCTGGACGGGAAGGTGAGCACACAAAACTGCCGCTATTGGAGTTCGACAAAACCGCACTGAACGCTCGAAAAAGCTTTGCAGTCACCGAAGGTAACAACAATCCGGTGCAGAATCTAGCGAGAGGGCGTCGTTGGCCCCTTTTCCTTTAATGATAACGTAACATGGAAGCACACCTACCTGAAGATGATGCAGTTCCTCCCCGAGTTGGAAGCATTACACATGCAGCGGAACGTATGCATCTTTATGCAGGATTGCGCCACTTCGCTGGTCGACGAGCGTAAGACACTGGCTGGACAACACCTCCCCAGGAAGCTGGATGGGCCGGGGATCACTGAACATGCCGTGGCGCGCCCCGATCGCCAAACCTCACGATATGTGGATTTTCGTTTGCGGGTTTGAGAAGTTCCAGGTGTACAAGGGCCGCATCCTCACACTCGACGAAGCAGCACATCAAGGCAGCGTTCGCTCTCATCACGGACGAGATGCGAGCTGCTGCATTCGGTGAGTACGGGACTAGGGCTTGGCCTCCGCATTTGGCGCCTAGGGGGCCACGTCGAAGCCTTGGTTCCAACCGAATTAGAGCCGTATTTCCCTGCCTAGAACTGACCTGACAACAGTCTTCGGAACAACTCACACTTCCTGTCAAGCGTACGGTTTATATATATATATATTTTAATACTGACAAAGGCCCTTTGGCTCTTGTCTATCTACTTCCTCGTCATTGTATTTTTTGCGCTTCTTTAGGTGATCATGAACCAACTGGCCCAAATTGTCATGGAACCTGGCCACTCTTGATGCGCCTGCCCTCCCGTTTCTCTGAATGCCCATGCAAATTATCTTTGTACGTGGCCTCTTCTTTCCGCAGATATCGCTCGCTTTATTAGCCTTATCCTGTACGTCCGGTGTCGCACACAACACCTGCAAATCAGTAAAAAACTCAAGTCACAAAAAAAAAATGCAAAGCCAGCTGGTGAAGCGACAAAACATTAAAATGAAGGAAACACACTGTGTCGTCTGTTTCGTCCTCTTGTGTGTTTCTTTCGTTTCAAGTCAATGTAGATCACCAACACGCTCAAGTCTTTACACTATTGGCTCTCTCCTTCCCCCCCCCCCCCCCCCCAAACCTCTATTACAACGCTTCTCGCTCTCTCTCTCTCTCTCAAGTCTTTAATTAACAACAAAACGTCTTTATCCACAATAAACAAAGACATTATACAAATAAACAACTTAGCGAGCCTAACCTGCGTTTAAAAAACAGTCCACTAACAACCTGGAATTGTACCCAAACCGGAGTACGTGAGAAACGGTGTGGCGGTGCTGTGCCGCAAACCGCTAGCAAACCACCAGACCGAAACCGAAACTAAACACAGGTGTTTCGTCTGCTGCCTCTCACAAACGGCGTCCTCTCCTTAGCACGAACAGTTTTCTACCTCTAACTTTTTGTTCCGGTAATGGTAAATGTGGGCATTTTGGCATCTTGTTCGAACGTCTGGGGCTACGTTTTGACGCAGTTGGAGCTCCCCGCAATGTCTAGTTCATGTCTGCGCTGCGAAAACCCGGTCGTAGCCCAAGCGATCGAGTGCACGCCGATGTAGCGATTCTGGTCTGTTCGTTTCCGAAGGACTCAGGTCAACATAACCAGCCATCTCCGTATGGCAACGACGACGGATGTACAGTTGTGACACAACAAAAATGGAAAAGCAGCGAAACGCAATTGCGATCCTCTGGCGGGTGTGCGCTGAATCGACTGCGGCTACTGAGAGGCGCCCACAGTGTGAAGTTGAACGTCGGTGGTCGCTTGTCGTATGAGTTGCTCTCGTGACTGTCGCTAGTCGCCAGAGCGTCAGTCAGAGAATTGCAGAAGGGAAAGCAAAAGAAGAGTTTCGCGGGCATTGGTATGTGTATGTCGGTATGTCACCTTTGTTTAGGGGAGGGGGGCCTTTTTCACCCAATTGTTCATTCATTCTTCCTGACAAGAGGGCGCGAGCCGCCGCCCGATTCAAAGGCTTCAGCTTCAGCTGCTTCAGCTGTGTGGCTTTGAGCTGTGTTCATTGATCCATGACTCGTTTAGCATTATTTTGATCAACAACAAGAATAACCGCAGCGCGTGAAAGACTTCTCTGCTCAAGCAGAGGTACTGTACCCAAGACTGAATCGTTAGGTGCGAGGCGATAGCGTTGAAATAAACTTCGCCAGTCCCTGCTTACGGCCGCCGCTTCATGTAAGACTTCTTCAACGTTGACTTTTCGCGCTTTTGCCGCGGAGACTTGCAGGTAAACGAGTAGTGGATCAATGTAGCGATGCCGGCGAGTTGGCTCATAATTACAAACTGTTAACAGCGCGCGAAAAATAGAGACAAAGGGAGGAATGGGCAGGGCGGGTGCCGAGCTTCAACTGAACATTTAATGGAACGCAGTGTGTAGAGTACCATCCGACGGCACTCTTGCAGAGCATTCAAGTGCCGTCCGACGGCACTCCACTCACGCCTTCAAATGCCGTCCGCTGTAGCTGTAGCGTAGCTTAACAATAAAAAAAAAAAAAAAAAAAGTAGCGTAGCAGGGGTATTCACACGAGGGAGAAATCCCGGGGATTTCTCCCCGGCACGCGCATCCCACGACGAAAACGTCAGGCTTTGCGCACGCGCTTCGGGCTCCACGGACGCAGATTATTCAACCAGACTTACCCCCCATTCACACTGGAAGCGGATCCGCGTTCGCGAAGCGGTTGGGAACGCGGTTGTATAGGTTGTTTGCACATGACGTCAATCCGCCATTCTGTTGTTAGTTTGTTTTTTCAAACAAATTTACTACATTGAAGGATTACATCGTAACCGGTTGAGTGAAGTCAGCGGTGCTCTACACAATTGAGGGGGCATGTAAATCCTTGGAATGCTCGAGTTTGGCACACGCCAGACAGCTCACAACAACAAAATGGTGGACGAAATTACGTCAGTGAAAACTCCCTATAAAGATCCAGTACAAATGCACGCGCATTTGATGTCATCAAATGCGCGTGCAATTGTACTGAATCCTTATACAACCGCTTCCAGTGTGAATGAGCCCTGAGGGCTCATTCACACTGGAAGCGGATCCGCGTTCGCAAAGCGGTTGCGAACGCGGTTGTATAAGGATTCAGTACAATTGCACGCGCATTTGATGGCTCATTCACACTGGAAGCGGATCCGCGTTCGCAAAGCGGTTGCGAACGCGGTTGTATAAGGATTCAGTACAATTGCACGCGCATTTGATGACATCAAATGCGCGTGCATTTGTCTCATTCACACTGGAAGCGGATCCGCGTTCGCAAAGCGGTTGCGAACGCGGTTGTATAAGGATTCAGTACAATTGCACGCGCATTTGATGACATCAAATGCGCGTGCATTTGTACTGGATCTTTATAAAACCGCGTTCCCAACCGCTTCGCGAATGCGGATCCGCTTCCAGTGTGAATGGGGGGTAAGTCTGGTTGAATAATCTTGCGGGGTGGCGGCCACTTGAGCAACGTCGGCGAATGACTCGCGTGCGCCTGGTTTGCCGCACTCTGGACGGCTCACTGATCGGGTCGTACCTATCAACGGCAGTGCGTGTGAATAGACGTACTGGCCAGCCTGAGCCACTGCATGCCAGGACTGTAAGACATGGTCTGTCCGCGATCCCTGCAGGCGTAAGTGAGCTTCTCTCTGTTCCGCTGAGGGAGCGCAAGGCTCTTCCGCGGGGCAGGGAGGAATCCCATGAGCTATGCAGACGATACGGCCAGCACCTGTTCACAAGTTGATGGCCCGTAAGAGGTACGCCTAAGGGTCTTCGCGTGTGCTCCGTGTCACCCTGGGGCGGGGCGTGGTGGAGGCCGCGGTTGCGGGCTCGGCTGCGCGGGGTGCACCACACACAGCGGTGCGCTCGCGCGTTTGGTCTTGTGGCTGGGGCCTCCGCCGTGGTCCGCGTGGGGGTGGGGTGGGGTACAGCGAGGTTTCTTATCTTCCCCTCTGGGTTATGATTATTCGTTGTTTTTATACATGTATATATGTTATCTTGTACTTACGACTACTGTTTGTTTATGTTTACACCTACTCAGCGGCGGGCTAGCAGGCGCACTTGCGTAAGGGTACTAACCTTTCAGTCTAGCCTTGCACGCCGCTGAGTGGGCAAACTTTCTCGTGCAAATAAAAATTATTATTATTATTATTATTAAAAGCCTCGCGTTTTCATCTCGTGATGCGCGCGTGCCTCGTGTGAATAGCAACTTAGTCCAGATGTCTGCCCCATACGCAGCCAAGGAGATTAGAAGGGTAGGAATTGTATGGGGCATGGGACGTTAGCCGCGTATCCTCCACAAGCCATGCTCCCTTGTCGCCTCGCCTCTTTCTTGTTTTCCTCCTTAACCTCCTCACTGATCGGGCCAACGTGACCACAGCACGTGACCGTCGCGTGGTTCATGGTTGCTGGTAGTAGGAAGCGTGGCGCTGGTGGGTTTCATTTGTCAGTCACCACAGCTAGAAACTGTGGCCCTCGCCCAGCCGACCGATTCTACGCCTGCTGCGCTTCGTTATGTACCTTCAACTATAAAGTAAATGCATTTTGTTTTCTACAGACTGTTACCATCTTGAAAACGACAGTATTCGACTTGGAACATCAGCGCTGTAACGATTGCCTGTTGTCGTGTTTTGGGTAATGCACCTTGCATCTGCGTGCATCAGCGGGGTGTATTTTTTTTTTTATCTCCTGGCCACTAATTAATACACTAACCAAAACAAGAATAAATTACATACACGCATGGGCCGTGTTCCAAAATTTACTCGATCTTACTCCAGGGTAAGAGTTTTGTACCCTTGGCGTTCTAAAACCTACCTGCGTCCAGCGCTTTTCAATCTGTGCTGTCACGTGGTAAGATCCACCGGAGTAACTCGGATCCATTTGGGTAAGATTTGGAACACAGCCATGATTGCATAACTATGTTGACCCGACAGGTTGGACCAATACTTTTACATATATTTTTTTTTTTTCGGCGATGATTTCCACGCCCGCGCTTTCATCGCTCTCATGTTATATCCCGCTGCAATACGTTTGGCTTTTCCTTTTCGTTTCGACCTCTATGCAGGTCGTCCACTGGGACATTTTATTGCGGTCGTGAGAAATTGAACCAGCTTGACCTGACTCGAGGTTGGGTGATGTTTTATTGACAGTTGGAAGTGCATGGAGCACACCATGCTCCACTCCGATGGGGTCCAGCCAGTCATGGGTAAGTTACTTTTAAAAAGTAATTCGTTACAGTTACAGTTACTTTCAGAAAAAAGTAGCAAAGTTACCGTTACAGTTACCACAACAAAAGAGTAACTAGTTAGTTACTTCTAAAAAGTAATGACGTTACTTTTCAGTTACTTTTCTATAACACAAAAATTACGGAAAAACTAGTGTTTGAAAGAAAAAAAAATATAGACACGAATCAGCCGGGCTTCCACCATAGCGGTAAATTCAAACTTAATAATTTAGCTGGAAAATTAGTGAATATTACGAAAAAATTAAAGACCAAAATTCAACTGGATGTGTTTTCTCAGATTTGAACATGAAGACTTCTTGTCGGAGTATTCTTTGTTGCAAAGTTTGCATACTGCGGTCAAATAGTTAGCAGCCACCTTTACCACAAAAAAAATACTCTGTACGCCGGCCATGCTGGTTCTTTGTTCTGTTCTCATCAACATCTTTATCCTTGGTAGCACTAGCACATTGCTGGCTCGTTGACGATTGCACTGGGTTCATGGACTCCTTTCATATATTTCAGTTTGTACCTGGCAAACCAAAAACAAGCCCTGTGCAAACAGCAGTAAATTTTGCTTCCACCGTTGAAAACACGCCGGACTAGTGGCGCAAATCGAAATACGAAACATGCGCAGTGCGGAGTAGTGGCGCTAATCAAAATACCAAACATACGAAGTTCCCTCCGCGTGTATGTTGTTTCACGGTTGATTCACCCAGTTAAAAAGCGTGCGCAGAAAAAAAAATGCAACTGAGATAGTGCTTCAATATACTAAGATGTAAGTGTTCAGTCACAAAGTACAAGCAGGTGCGTAAAGATAACTACATTCTTCTTCTTTTTTTTTTTTTTTTTAAATCTACACGTGGCTACATTTGGATAGTGACTCGCGAGAAAGAATGTATTCTCAAGTTTGTACAAGGCCAACTGACGTTCAAATTGTCGGAACAGACAATTTGGAAAGATCAAGGAATAGCAAGATTACACTCGTTTAATGATATATTATTCACAAAGAACTGAAAAGTAATGCCGTTACTTTCATCGTTACCTCAGAAAAAGTAATAGAACTACAGTTAAAAGTTACATTCTTAAAAAGTAACTCGTTACAGTTACAAGTTACCGAAAAAGTAACTAAATTACAGTAACGTGTTAGTAGTAACGCATTACTACTTAAGACTAGGTCCAGCCACCACTGCGACCATCGGCCGAAATCCATCATTTCCGCAGTGCGGCGACCGTTAAAAATCTAAGAGAATTGTTGATTGATTCCTATTATCGCAAAACTATGTGTATGTAATATGCCATGGGCTTACCGGTGAAAGGTAACCCCGCTCAAGAAAAGTCCGTCCGATTGCAGCAGTCGACCACACTGCAAGTGCCCATCCCGTAGCCGTAGGAAATTAGCGTCCCGGCGATGCCAGGCTTTCGTTTTCTCCGTTGCGATTGCGGCGATTGCCGCGATTGTCTCGTGTACCAGCAGCAGTGTGTCGTCTGCTCGTGATCCGCCTTGACCGCTTGCTTGCTTCACGTCCAGCCGTCGACCTGATAAAACCTACCGGACGGAGTGCGCGCAACCCCTGCAAGGAATCCTTCTAGAATCAACCATCTATTTTGCACGTGACATGTCACACGCATCAATTGTCAGAGGTCTCACGGTCACTCTGGCCGTGAGGCTTCACAAGTGTTGCAACCTATTCCCCCGTAGTATTTGTAACTTCCTTGTATCCAGTGAACCCAGGTTTAATCCACAGTGTGGGCTTACTTTTTTTATTTTTTTTTCTCTGACATTTTTTGTCTTGTTGAGGCATTTGGCAATATTTACGACGTTTTTTTTTTTTACGATTAACACTCAAATTATGAATGTTGACGACAAAACTTCGCTGAACAAAATGGTATAAGACTCCATTTCCAGAGGTGCATAAAGGACAGCGGGGCTTGTGTTGCCGGCTGGACGCCGCGGAGCGGCATGTACGAGGGGGCTAAGTGGGTTAACAATTTTGTAATTAGCAGCCGCATACTGTCGCCGCGAAGCGTCGTGAATGCAAGAAGGGAAGGGTGGGGGGGGGATAACAAGCTCCCCAGTGATAGACGTGCCGTCCGACTTTCTTTCAGACGGCACTTGTAGGCGCAAGTGGAGTGCCGTCGGACGCCACTGTAGACACAGCCTTAATGAAAAGAAAACACTTAAGTAAAGAACCACACCGTCATAGCGTCAACACGTGCTCAAAAAAGTTATCTCTAGTGTAAATACAGCGATGTTTGACACAATTATCACCCTCCTTTCCTATCTCGTAGGCTTCTAGCAATTCTCTCGCAGTTTTATCAGCTCCTTTGCCCAAAATCGTGATGCTGTTAAACTTTGGTTCACACGTGCATGTGACACAGTGTAAAGGAAGGTGTTACCTTCCTTTACACTGTGTGTGGTGCACGACAAGTGCACCACACACACACACACTGGTGCACGACAAGTGCACCAGCGTGGGAGGCTGCTGCACTTGTCGTGCTGGCCTCGCGCTTCGTAAAGCAATGTACCAAATGCTAAAGATTCTCAAAGGCCACAGCATCGTATTAAACAGAAGGGTATTTGTCTCCCAAAAAGTTTTATTAGGTTCCTTGGAGGTGATTCAGGAAGGATAGCCAGAAGCATGAATCGGCAGCTGTGTTGAGGACAGGGTTAGTTATTGTTTCTCTATCTTGTCGCATGATTCAATAATGCAGCTACGCTTACTTTTCACATACTTTTCGTAGATACTTTTGGTACTTTTCATAGATCACACACAGGGATGGGCAGTATTTCAAATACCTTGTGTATTTTGTATTTGTATTTAATTACAAATTGGGTAATGTATTTGACGTGTGTATTTAAATACTAAAACGTGGGTATTTCAAATACAATTGTAATTAAATACAATTTTGTGGGCGAAAATACATCCCTCAAATTTATTGTCACGATAATTCTTGTTTTTATGCATGTGGTAAGATATAGTCTCCATCCTTTATTCGGCCATGGGGCTTTTTTCTTTTCCTCCTCCGGCTTTCTTTTAAAGGCACTGTCCAGAGCACGAAGAAAACTATGTTCCGCACCGAATGCAGTGTCTCTCAATCAAGCACAAGCGTTTAGTGACTTTGTGATTACGGTGCTAGTCCAGGGCAAGAATAGTGATGAAATTGACGTTCACAGGCAGACTGGCGAAATAAGTGCCTCTGACAACTTGCGATGCTTTCCAGCCTGACTTCCATGCATATTTTTACCTGGAACATTCTAAATGCACGGATCGTTCAGATTTTCGTAACTGGTGCAAGTTGCAACAATAAAAAATTATCTAGCTATATCTGCATGCCTTGGTCGTCTCGGTTCTTTGTTGGTCCATAACAGAATGTAATCGACAAAAAAGCTGCTTGAAGCTCTGTACTTTTTTCACCTATTCCGTCCAAGCTGATTACATTTTTTGTGATTATATTTCTATTACGTTACTAGAGCCTCACGCACTAACTCCCGAGTGTGCGATGCACAATTAAACTGAGATACCCAGAAACCCGTTACAGGTGCCCTGAAGTCGCTGACGCAAATTTTGAGGAATGTATTTGGAAAAGTATTTGGAGGAGACCAAATACATTTGGTTGTATTTATATCTTGTATTTAAATGCTTTTTTGGAAATGTAATTAGATTTGTAATTAAATACATTTTTGACAAAGTATTTTGTATTTGTATTTCGATACATATTTGCATGTATTTTGCCCACCCCTGATCACACACGAGAATGCAAGAGTTTCGTGTTGCTTGGGGGAGCCGTCAATTTAAGGGTGGACGGAGCCTGCATGGGGCCCGCAATCCGACGCCAACGTTCTACGATAAGTTCCTAATGTAATAGCCATGATCGTTCCTTATGGCTGTCGACAAAATAAACCCGAATATCCAGTTGCCATTTTTTTAAACAACTTTAAAGTTGAGAATTAAGCTCGCTTTGCTTACCCGCTAATTTTGTTCCCCAATGTCAAAAAGAGAAAGCGAGTAAGCGGCAAAAGACTTGAGGGAAAATTAGGCAGATAACCGTAGCCTCTAGTATTAGCGACGAAATGTTTTGGTGGCTCCACCTCGTGGGCACCCTCATGTGATGGAGCTAATAGGATGCAAGCAGACGACACGCTATGTCGAAGCGCAGAGTAACATTGTTATTTTGCATCTATTCCGATTAAAAACGGGTTATTTATTAAAGAGACATGTATGACGTTTTCTTGAGTGATTTTTGTAATGAATAACAGTGCCTCGAGGTTGCTTTTCATATTAAAAGAACTTTAAAATGTTTAAAAACAAGCATGGAACTTCTTGTTACAGATTGTGTGGCGTGATTAAAGACCAACGACCAGTTCGTGCTATCCACTTTTCCCCCGCTTACTCCTCTTTCTCCTTTTACCCTGTCCACCACTGCCCGTTTTCCCCTCCCCCATGGTGAGGAGGATCTTCTGCCTTGCAGAATCTCGAATCTGGTCTTCGGCCTTTAAGGGCTATTCACAGCGCCTCTGATTCTTTTTTTTTTTCATTTTTTTTTTTTTCCGGATCTGTGGAGGCTGGTGTAGAGAAAGGTTTTGCATTAACCAGAGTAAATGACGTGCTGTCTTCTTAGCTTTTTATGCACGCACAGCTGTGTTGCAAAACGCCGCACACTTGTATTAGCTGCATTGAGCTTGCCGATACCATTGCGACTCGACAGTTCCTGATGACCGAATGCTCGTCAGCAACTGACGCTAGGCTCCTCCCGCATCGAATATGTGACAAAGAAGTTTGTCACAGCGCAATTTCTGCTCGAAAGAAAAGCAAACATTTTCATAAATTCTTAAATAGTCAGACATGGCCCCGGCAATTTCAGGCGATTGATTCATTTGTTCTATTCAATTTTTACTAAGACTTGTTTAGAAATTTAAAATGGCTCGCTGAACAGCGCATCACGCATTATGCGCATTTGAATCAGCAAATTTAAACACACGG